TTAACCAATGCAGGAATTGAACCCCTGCCGTTGGCATTACTCTGCGTTGCAGACCAACCATCCAGCCAACTGATCCTACAGGCCTGTTAACATTAGACATGAGAAGATATTAGACGCTCTTATTATATATTTTATGCATGTGTATTTAGAACAATTTAAGGTAATCAAGCAGAGAAAACTGGCTTCTTTGAAAAGGAAATTGTGTCAATTGGGCTTTTTCCTTAAGAAAAGGCTGGCTGACTTTGTGATTTAGTCATAGTATTTGGATTATTCCTGCCTTATTTTACCAGTCCTGTGGCAATAGACTGACAGACAAGTGGGCTTGTTAAATGGTGGCATAAGACATTGGGACAGAAACAGAGATCTTCTAACTATCATGAAATATTTCCAGAAGTAGTAAATGGCAGTGGCTCAACTGTCTATGGACTGGAGGTTAGCAAGCAATTATTTGAATTAATTGGCCAGTTAACAGCTATTTTCCCATGACACTGGATTTTACTCGCATAAAGAAAGACCTCATAAGCCCCTCCCAGGTCAGATCGATTTTACATCCCAGAAGATTTCCTGCCTGGTGATCTTTCTTTTTCTGCCTACTGGAGGAACCCCTGAGAGGCAGTGTCCAGTACTGTGGCTCCAGCACTATCACTGGAAGGTTTCCCTCTCTGATAGTTGGGGCCTACCTGTGGCCAACATATTGAACATATTTCTTACCCACCTTTCAATGGAATCTCAAAATGGACATATGCTCTGCTTCTCCCTATTGCCTTGGAAGCAAGTAGGACTTGAACCTGGACCTCCTGGCTCAGAAACAAATCGCTATCACCGTGCCATAAGACCCTAAAAGCAGTGAGTTATGTGGTTGATGCTGAGGAGGATGCCAGCCCATCAGCCCTCTGATTAGGCCAGCAGGTTGGAAAGGCAGGCTGCTAGGCTAATTTGGCCAACAGACTGGCCTCTCAATTGGATGCCAATGGTAAAATTGCCCCTCAGTTGCACAATCTACACTTGAAGACTCAAGATCTGCTTTCATTCTTGGCAGCAGGATTTCTTTGATAAAATCCAGTCCATTGTGTGCAATCTTTTAGGCACACCGGATATAAAAATATTTGGAGCTTTTGAAACTAGACTGTATCCAAATTATGAGGGAAGCTTGCAATGCTGTCTGTTTTCACCAGGGATATGATTATGACTCGATTATGACTCACCCATAAAAAAAGGAGATATGAAACATCATGCATGCTTTTCCATGGGCAGGAAATTACAAAGGCACTGGTTTAAAATGATTAAACCCCAAGAGAAAATGAATTTTGGGAATTGTTTACCTGACAGTTTAGCCCCCATGAAGACTGAAAAGGAGGAAAATCCCCCAGTGACGGGAACAATGTCTATTCGCTTCGTGATTGTTTCGAAATGCATATCTGGAAAGCGATGGGGCGTGGGGGTGAATGTCGATGTCAGATTAAATGCTGTGGTTCTGGACGTTGCAGCAGGCCGACGCTCACGCGCGCTCGGCAAGGTGCCCAGAACCACGTGCCAGAAGAGGGGCACGTGCCGCCAGGTGGGAGTTGCCGCCCTCCCAGCCAGGCAGTGCAGGCCTTTCCAAGGTCCAAATCCGTAGTCACATTTAGTTTAATTGGGAAGTCATAAGTTTCCTTTCCTCCCCAACGTCTCCTCGCCAATTATTTTGGAGAAGTATGTTTTTACGTTTGTTCTCGATTTTTATTTTCGACATCGTGACACTGTCCAACTCACCGTAAGGCCAGTTTACGGCCATTCTTTAGAGTCCGCAAGTTTCATTTTCCTTGCGGGAGTGGGCTGCGCGTATTTTGTGTTAATTTTTCTTTCGGGTTTGCGTCAGCACTGCGATGGGAACTGCACAGTAGTCATGACCCTGACCTAGGACGTGATATCAGTTATGTGACTATTGCATTTGCAAGCATTTTCATTAGTTAGCATGGTCGGTTTGAAATTGTACGGTATTTTTCCTGATTATTAAATATAACGCAATTTTAAAAATGAATCAGGATACAATCCGTAGCTGAGAACAAGTTAAAATGGTACTAGGAAAGTCCAGGTGGAAAGGATGGTATTTCCATGATTTTGTCGCATTTTTTAGTCCCAGATTTCATGGACTTTGCAGTGTTTAAAAAAAAACCCGTTTACCATTCAATTCTTGATCGATGTCTGAATCAATCCTAAAATGAAGTTTTGAGCTAGGCGTATCTGTTGAAATCCACACTGAGTTTTGACAAGTATGTTGTTAAATTGCTACGTTTCATAATGGTATGAGCCCTTGTGTTATTTTAATTTGGGTTCAGGTTGAAAAGTTGATCGTTGATTTAATAAGTCAACAGCTGCTGGGGTGTTGGTAGGAATCAGTTCTTGAGTAGATGTGTAGCTTGAGTTGTGGATACTGAGGTTGGTTAGTTGGTTCGCAGATGTTTCATTACCCTGCTCGGTAACATCATCAGTGCAGCCTCCGATGAAGCGTTGTTGTGTTTTCCCGCCTGGTTTTTAAACTCTGGGTCCATTGGATTTGATTACCTCATTTCCGGTTTTCCTTCGCAGTGGTGTATATATAGGGCCTCGTTCTGTGTATTTGTTGATGGCCTTCTTGGTGGAGATCCAGGCCTCTAGGAATTCCCATGCTTGTCTCTGCTTGGCCTGTCCTAGGACCTAGGTGTTGTCCCAATCAAACTGGTGGTTTTCCTTATCCGTGTAAATGGAGATGAGTGAGTATTGGTCATGTCTTTTTATTGCTAGTTGGTGTTCATGTACTCTAGTGGCCAATTTTCTTCCTGTCTGTCGAATATAATGTTTGTCGCAGTCCTTGCATAGAATGTTGTATATTGAAACCAGAAGGGATAAACACCACCACACCGCCCCCCCCGACCCCCGATTCTATGGCCTCCCAAAGGTAAACAAACCAGAAGTACCCCTTAGACCTATAGTTGCCCTCCCAGGCACACCAACACACGTTAGCCAAGGAATTACAACGAAGGCAAAAGCACTTCGTCAGCAAGTCACCCCACTCAATCCACTCAGCCCAGGAGTTCCTCAAGGATATAAAAATACACAATGATGAGTTCATGGTCTCATTTGGCGTTACCACTCTATTCACATTGATTGACATACCACCGGCAAGAGAAACACTAGCAACACTACTAAAAGAACAAGACCCAAGTGACACCATCTCCACAGATAACATGCTAAAACTACTGGACCTGTGCCGCACGACCCACTTTACCTTTAATAGCCAATGTACAAACAGATCAACGGGACACCCGTGGGGTCACCTATTTCCGGACAAATAGCAGAAGCGGTGATGCAGAGACTCGAAAGCATGGCCCTTCCACAAGTCCAACCCAAACTATGGATCCGATACGTGGACAATACTTTTGTCATCATCAAATGGACCAAACTAGAGGAGACACACCAACTAATAAACAACATTCTCACCAGCATCAAATTCACTGGGGAAGAGGAAAAGAATGAACCAACTCCCATTCCTGGATGTCATGGTAGAACGCAGGGCCAACGGGGAATTCCTGATGAAGGTACACAGAAATGCCACACACACTGACCAAGTACTGAATTTCAACAGTAACCACTCCAACACCCACAAATGAAGTTGCGTGAAAACACTATTTAAATGAGCGACAATGCACTGTAGCAACCCGGAATATGCCAAAATAAAGAAGAGTACCTCCACCAGGGTATTTAAGGACAATGGATACCCGAACAACTGGATCACACGAACAACAACGGGAAGATATTGCACATCCTAACATACTCATCACGCTACCAAACATCAAGAACATATCCTAACTGACCACAAGACTCCTACGTCCGTTGGGCATCAGAGTAGCACACAAACCCACGTCAACTGCTAATTTGAACCAAAGACCTCTTACCCACTATGGACAGAATCAATGTAATATACAAAATTCCATGCAAGGACTGCGACAAACATTACATTGGACAGTCGGGAAGAAAACTGGCTACAAGAGTACATGAACACCAACTAGCAATAAAAAGATACGACCAATACTCACTCATCTCCATTCACACGGACAAGGAAAACCACCAGATCAATTGGGACAACACCAGGGTCCTAGGACAGGCCAAGCAGAGACAAGCACAGGAATTCCTAGAGGCCTGGTTATCCACCAAGAAGGCTATAACAAATACATAGAACTAGACCCTACACATACACCACTGCGAAGGAAAACTGGAAATGCGGCAATCAAATCCAATGGACCAAAGAGTTTAAATACCAGGCAGGAACACAACACTTCATCGGAGGCTGCACTGATGATGTTACCCAGCAGGGTAATGAAACGTCTGCAAACTAACGAACCAGGTCGGTGAGCGAACTAACCACAGCACTCAAAAATTCTTAATATTGAACAGAGCACGTTGAATTGCCTGGGTTAGACACTTTATAAAATTCTTTTCATGGGACGCGGATGTTGGTGGAAAGGCCAACACTTATTGCCTATCCCTGATTTCCCTTGAATTGTATGCCTTACTAGCTAGTCAAGAGTAAATTACATTTCGGTGGAAAAGCTCAGTGTGTCTGGTAGCACCTGTAAAGAGAAATCAGAATTAACATTTAGGGTCTGGTTACCCTTCCTCAGATCTGCTACCAGTCCTGCTGAGCTTTTCCAGCAATTTTTCTGTTTTTGTTTCTGATTTATAGAACATCCATAATTCTTTTGGTTTCTAAATTACATTTCGGTGCATGTTGTCACATTTAAACCAGACCAGGTAAGGACACGTGAAGGACCTTGGTATAATACCAAATTAGATTACTCACTTTTCACATCTGTCCTTTTGATTTTAAAATAAAATCTTACAAGCTTACTTTGAGTCTTTTTTTTAAAAGTCATCTTGAGTTCCTGATATTTTACAGAATAAAGCTGGAGTTTCTTAAAGTGCTACCTAAGCTCTTGGCATAACTTGGAAAGTTATGGTGAAAAGAGAAAGTAAGGATAAAAATGACAGACAAGTACCAAGAATTATCCAGAGCACAACTTACTTGTGACTACCTTCATGCAAACTCGTAAATATGACTTAGTAATTTTTTAAATATTTATTTACATTTTTGACCGTGCAAAGAAAAGCATAGGTACATTTTTTCCACATTTCTAGAACCACGCATGACTTCATCTTTGGAGCATTGGCAGAATTGGTGGATAATGCAAGGTAAGTCTTCTTGATAAGAACTAAGAAAGATAGCAATTGAATACTATGCTTTAAATTTAAAAAATCTAGCTGACGTGTATTAACTGAATAAAGCCGTGGTTCATTTTCATTTGAATCAATAAAAAATCTCAAATAATATGAAATAAGAACAATGCTGGGAATGCTCAGCAGGTCTAGCAGCATAGAGAAAAAGTGTTAGGTCTGTGATTTTTTTTCAGAAATTGGAAATGCCAGAAATGTAATGAGTTTTGTCCCACCTTCATTTGTTCAATGAGGAAAGGAACAAAAAGAAGGTCTGGAGAGATTGCATTACAGTTTTACAGCACAGAATTAAGCCATTTAGCCCATTACATATGGACTTGCTCTCTAAACAGGCATTATGACTTAATGCCATTCTCCTGCCTATTCCTCATACCCTTGTACATTGTTTCCATTCAGATATCGATTTAATGCCCTCCTGAATGCCTTGGTTGAATTGCTTCCACCGTACTTACAAGCGACGTATTCAGTTATTCTGTGAATCGAATCTGAGCTACTAAAAGCAAAAAGCTTCCTCTTGCATTACCTTTTCTTCTTTAAGTCTATGCCTTCTAATTCTTGATCCTTTTTGAGTTGCTTCTGATCTACCCCAACCAGATCTCTCATCATTTCGAAAACATTGCCATGTTTTCTTGTAACCTTTTTTGAAGGAAAAAAGTCTCCGCCTCTTCAATCTTTCCTCATAACTGAAATTTCTCATCCCTGAAAGCATTCCCATAACTTCTCCTGCACAGTCTCCAATACATTCACATCCTTCCTATAGAGTGGTGTCTAGGACTGCACTTGATAGACTCTAACAAGTATCCTGTACAAGTTTCACATAGCCTCCTTGCTCTTGTAATCTATGTCCTATTAATAAAGCCCAGGATGCTGTATGCTTTGTTAACTGTTTGCTTCACTTGTTCTGCTATCTTCAATGATCAATGCACACATTTCCAGAGTTTCCAGTCTAGGATTTACATAGTCACCTTAAACCTATTATCAGTGTTAGCAAAAGGAATTCTGGTGTGAGTACTGTATAAGGTTTGTTGGGTACAAAGGCTGTTTTCTTTTTTGAAACGTGTAAAGGAGAGTTTAGGATTAATGGAATTAAACACTTACCACGTATTTAAAATTTTAAACTTGTGTTATAAGTAGAGCAGCTTATTCTCTTTAGTTTCTTGATATAAACTTCTGTTCTACTCATAGAATCCCTACAGTGTGGAAAGAGGCCTTCCAGCCCATTGAGTCTGCACCAACTTTCTGAAGAGCATCCCCCCCAAACCCAATCCCTACCCTAACCCTGTAAATAACATGGCTAATCCAACCAGCCTGCATGATTTCGGAACGAAACAGGAGCATTCAGTAGAAACCCACGCAGACATCGGGAGAATGTGCAAACTCCACACAGACAGTTGCCCCAAGGCTGGAATTGAACGCTGGTCCCTGGCACTGTGAGGCAGCAGTGCTAATCACTGTCACTTCATTGTTAAAGCAAAATCTGCAATGTTGAGGACTTCTGCCTGTGAGAAACCAACTTGCTAAAGCCAAAAACTATGATCAGTCAAGTCAGATTTCAATCTGAGATCTGATTTTCCCAGTAATAACATCAGCTGGGATGATAACAGGACATAAAGAGCCCTGTTATAAGAGCATAAGATAGAGCAGTGGAATTAAGCCATTTGGCTCTTGGGGTCCTCTCTGCCATTTGATCACGGCTGATATGTTTCTCGATACCACTCTCTTGCCTTCTTTCCGCAACACTTGATACCTTCACCAAACAAGAACCTATTTATCTCCCTCTCAAATACATTCAATAACTTGGGCTCCACAGCCTTCTGCAGCAACGAGTTCCACAGATTCAACATCCTTTGGCTGAAAAAATTCCTCCTCATCTCAGTTCTAAAAGGTTGTTCCTTCGCTCTGAGGCTGTGCCTTCAGGTCCTAGTCTCTCCTACTAGTGGAAATGTCTTCTCCATGTCCACTGTATCCAGACCCCTCAATATTCTGCAAGTTTCATTCAGATCTCCCCCCTCATCCTTTTAAACTCCATCAACTACTGTCCCAGAGTCCTCAACTGCTCCTCACGTGATAAGCCCTTCATCCCTGAGGTCATTCTTCTAAATCTCCTCTGGACCCCCTCGAACACCAGCACATCCATCCTTCCAGTCAATTCTCTATCCTTGCCCTGAACACAATGGGATCTTATTTAGCAGCCTCCTATGTGGCACCTTGTCATTGGCCTTTTGGAAATCCAAATAGATCATGTCCACTGGCACTCCTTTGTCTAACTTGCTCGTTACCACCTCAAAGAATTCCAACAGATCTATCAGACATGACTTCCCCTTCATGAAACTGTGCTGACTCTGCCCTAATTTAACATGCTCTTCCAAGTTATAACTTTTGTGTGTTTTTTCCAGTGGTTTCATGCTATGTCTGCTGAGAATTTTGACATCTAAGAAGTATAATTTCTTATAATAAATTGCTTTTCTTTCTGGGTTGTAATATTGTTTTAATCATTTCTATGATGCTTCATTTATTAAACTGAACTTTCAAATCATAAGACTATTTTTGAAAGAAAGATATGAAAAAGTATGATAACATTATAATGTACTTGCAGAGATGCTCAAGCAACACTTTTGAACATTTATACAGGTGAGTCACAGTACCAAAATTGAATTGGGTAGTGAGGTGTCTGCTAACAATTCGTTGGCAAAATTAATGTCTTTCTCTTGGAATAGGTAGTTTTGATATGACATTTTATTAATTGATTTTCTGTGTTTTATTTAAGTAGAATTAATTGATTCATCTTTTTCTGGACTTGCCTTTGAATAATTTCAATACTTTTTAATTTCTTCTTCAACAATCCCTACTATGCGGAAGCAGGCCATTTAGCTCATCGAGTCCACACCAACCCTCAGAAGAGCATCTCACCCAGACCCACCCCTCATTACCCTATCCCTTTGACCCTGCGTTTCCCATGACTAATCCACCTAACCTGCACATCCCTGGATAATATGACCAATATAGTATTGCCAATCCACCTATCCTGCAAATCTTTGGACTGTGGGAGGAAACTGGAGCACCTGGAGGAAACCCATGCAGACATGGGGAGAATATGCAAACTTCACAGAGACAGTTGCCTGAGGGTGAAATTGAACTCGGGTCCCTGGTGCTGTGAAGCCTAACCACTGAGCCACCGTGATGCAGTTTTATGCAGGCTCATGTCACATTTTGGTCTTTGTATTCAATCGCCCTATATAGCGCTGTTCTGTTAGCATATTTTCCATAGACTTATGAGCCTTAGGTGTCGACTTTATGATTCTACGAACCTGTGCTACCAAATTCCTTTGCTTGTCCGTGACATCCATTTAGTATGTTAGCATTTGGTCCATATTGTCAATGTCCTCTCACTTAATGACAGGCACCACAGCGATAGGTTCTGGGTCCTCTTTGGTTTGTCATTTATATAAATTATTTGGATGAGAATGTAGAAGGCATGGTTATTAAGTTTGAGAATGACGCCAAAATTGGTGGCATAATAGACAATAAAGATTTTTCTCAGATTACAAAGGGATCTTGATCAAATGGGTCAATGGGTTGAAAAATGGCAGATGGAGTTCAATCTGGATAAATGCGAAGTATTGCATTTTGGTACAACAAACAAAGGTGGGGCTGATACACTTAATGGTAGGACTTGGGTATGTTGTAAAACAGAGGCACCTAGGGGTGCAGGTACATAATTGGAGCTTGCATCAAATATAGAAAGGGTGGTTAAAAAGGCGTTTGGCATCCTTGCCTTCATTGCTCAGTCCTTTCAATATAGGAGTTAGGAAGTCATGTTGGGGTTGTACAGGACATTGATGAGGCCTCTTCTGGAATGCTACGTCCAGTTCTGGTCACCCAGTTATCGGAAGGATATTATCAAACTGTAGAGGGTTCAGCAGAGATTTGCCCTGATGTTACCGGGTATGGAAGGTTTGAGTTGCAAAAAAAGGCTGGGACTTTTTTCACTGGAATGTAGAAGGTTGAGAGATGACCTGATAAAATTTTATAGAATAATGAGGGGTATAGATAGAGTTAATCATCGTTGTCTTTTGCCTAAGATGGGGGATTTTAAGACTAGGGGGCACATTTTTAAGGTGAGAGGAGAGAGGTATTAAAAAAAAGAGGGACAAATATTTTACACAGAAGGTGGTTCATGTGTGAAATGAACTTCCTGAGGAAGTGGTGGCTGTGGGTACAATTAATGTTTGAAAGACATTTCTATAGGTACATGAATAGGAAAGATTTGGAAGGATATGGGCCAGGAGCAGGCAGGTGGGACTAGTTTAGTTTGGAATTATTTTTGACATGGATTGGTTGGACCAAAGGTTCTCTTACCATGCTGTATGACTCTGACTCTAGTGTGTGCACTACATAAAGTGCTGAAATCTGTAAATGGTGCAGGCCTTGCATTTGATCATTCTTGGTGTGGTCCATGCAGTGTGCTGTGCTACAAAGCATGCTTATGCAGTTAGTACCACTACACAGCTAAATAAGTCAAGAGTCAGCTCCGCATCAACTGCACCGGCTGAGTTGATGCATGCCATAGAACCTTGAATACCAAGGTCCACTGAATTCATGTGTTAATAACTCAGCTGAGGAAGTGCTCAGCTGCCTGACAAGATCAAATTTCTGCAGCCATCCACCACTTTGCCACCTCAACTAGACTATATAGTGACAGGCATCCAATGTCCTCATGAGATGTTTCTGGTTTATTTCTGCTCTGGCACAGTTTGAGAATACTGTTATAGCTTTTGGAAATCTTTTGATGAATTGGTGCATCCACTAATACAAACTTACATATAGATTAGAAACTGGATTAGAGACTCAGTCCCACAAACCATTCTGACATTCAACAAGATCAGTGCAGGAGTGAGAATTAGGCCAGACCATTCAGCTAGTCCCTTAGCACAAGTAATCCTTCCATGCTGTCCTTCCTACTGTCTGGTGACTCCAAGTTCACAAAGTGCCAGTACCTGCTTTGGTGGTTGCAAGTTTAAGATCCAGTGATGGTGTTTCTGTCTGATTGCTCGGGAGTTACTTCAACTGGGCAGGCAACACACTTTTGGTATCTGAAAACAGAATGAGGACTGGAGTGTTGGGATGAGTCAGAGGGTGACTCTGAAAGCAACCGATTTGGGGTCAACATCAACTGCAGCTTGGAATTCAAGATTGCAGATTGTATCATGAGTGTTTTATGGGAGTTGAAGTAACATAAGGTGAGAACATACCATCATCCTGAACAATCATAGAATCCCTACAGTGTGGAAACAGGCCCTTCAGCCCAATAAGTCCACACCGACACACAGAGCATCCCACCCAGACCCAGCCCCCTATAACCCATCTAATCTACACATCCCTGAACACTGTGGGCAATTTAGCATGGTCAATCCACCTAGCCTGCACATCTTTGGATTGTGGGAGGAAACCGGAGCACCCGGAGGAAACCCACGCAGACACGGGGAGAATGTGCAAACTCTACATAGACAGTCACCCGAGGGTGGAATCAAACCCAGGTCCCTGGCGCTGCAAGGCAGCAGTGCTAACCACAGTGCCACCGTGCCGCCCTATCTCAGCAATGTTAGATTCTCATGTCACTGTTGCATTGAGACCCATAATGCAAAGCATAATCCCCACAGTCTTTGCTTCTGACTTTTTCCTTTGTTACCTAAAACAAATGGAAGAATGTTAGTAAGTGTTCTGTATGTGTTTGGATAATGCCTCCCATAGCTGAGCATCTGGCTGGAGAGATAGATGGGAGGCTGACATTGTTTGAATGAGTGAGTGGCTTACCTGAATGTAAGGCCTGAACGCTGGCTAATTACTAGAGTGTGGTGCATTGATTGTTGAAATGTTGTTGGTATGCTGGATTCACAAATAATTTTCTTCATCTTTGTTATAACATTGAACTTCTTCTGGCAACACTGCCTTTTTAATTTTTGCCATACTCCTTGCATTGATCTTCCTCCCTGTCCTACACTCATGCATGTTGGAGGGTGTACATTCATGGCTTTCTGGCCTTGTCCCTCATGGAAACATGGCATTTCTCATCCTATTAATTTTTCAGCACCATGTTTGCGATCCTGGAAGCCCTCCCATTTAGATGCAACATTTCCTTTGTTTCCAATTGCAATGCTTGCTATTAACAGCAGTTCCCTTTGTTAGTGTATCTTTTTTTGAGGGTACCTTACCTTCAATACTGAAGAGCTCTTGTTGTGCAGTACTAATATCCTTACCTTTGAGCCTTGAGACCCAAGTTCAAGTCCCACCTGCTCCACAAGTGTGTAATAACATCTCTGAACAGGTTTATTTGAACGTACCTAGCCTTGAATACTGTTGAGCGCTCATGCTGAACATAAGTGTCCCAACACAATGTTCAGCTGCATCCTGCAATCAGGTAAATGGAGGCAGCATGAACTTTGTGTGCTGCCTGTCTCAGTAGGACCAGTGTCACATCATGCCTCACTGTTTAGCAAACTAGCTTAAATGAATGCATAAAATCCCAATGACACCACCAAAATGAACAAGTTACTTGCCATTCAGAACAAAGGCATTCACACCAAGTTTCTTTCAATAACAGAGAAAAAGTACTCTTTGTTGCACTTAACTTTGAACAGTAAAGAGTGTGGATTTCTAATCAATGAAATTTAAACCATGTCCCTTCAAAACAGCAAATGCATACATGAGATAACAAGGTGTGGAGCTGGATGAACACAGCAGGCCAAGCAGCATCAGAGGAGCAGGAAGGCTGACGTTT